TAATCTTATACCAGCCCATGCCTAGTAGCTATACATGCACAAAGGATCATTAAGACCTGTAAAAAAGATTTAAGATTTACAACACAAAACTTAAGTGGATTTAAGACTTTTTAAGGCCTAAAATTATGCTTTTGAGATTGAAGACATTTTAAGACCCTGCATGTATCCTGTATAGTGAAGAATGCTGGAAACCTCTAACAAATGACTTTAATGGTTGAAAAAACAAATAATATAAATGGAAGTCTATGACCACAGATTTCCAGGATTCCTCAGTATATCTCCTTTTGTATTAAACAAAACATGTCAAGTCAATGTTGAAAACAATTTCAGAATTTTCACATTCACAACTATCACTTTAAAAATATAAGTAATTCACTTGACTCACCCTAAAATTGACCCTGTTGCGGACCCGGTTGGCCAGCGCTGTGTTGATAGCTTTATCAAACTGTAAAAGCACTTGGAGAGCTAACTGTGGTGTGATCTGTTGGGTCTGTGGAAAGAGAAAAGTTACCTCATTGAAAGATGCATGTAGTTGTGGTCAAGTTTAATCTTCATTGTATTAAGTAAGGTAAAATAATCAATAAAAGACTTTACTGCGTGTATTAGTCTTCAATCTTAGAGTCAACATGTTTAGACAAAAACGTACATATTGAAGTAATAAACGATACATGTTGCATCTGTAATTATACCAAGACTGTTATGTTCTAAAATATGGCAATTTAAAAACAAAACTAAACCAAAATTGCACGTACAGCTCTAATAAAACACACAAAAATTGAATGTATCCTTTACTAGAGCAGTTCATTCATGACTGTTATGAGGAGCAGCTCAGTCACAAACACAGCTGGGGTTTGCTAACACTCAGTTACTTTACATTTACTTGCTAAACAGATAGATAAATAATAATAGATGCAATGCTAACATATAAAATGCTAAACTATTAAAGGTAAATAACTGAAAATAAAGTCGTCGTCTTTATCCCGTTATCTACAGTCTCTAAATCGCATCATTCTGCGCTGGCTAGCAATCAGGCTACATGACTTCTCTTAGATCCAGCAGTCTCACCTGAATAAGTTCATCAAGACTCTCCTGTAGGCTGTTTCCGAGCGTCGTGTTTCTGTAGAGTTGATATGCCATAGTGTATTATCAGCGCGAAGGCGAATGTTCTGTTTAAAATAACCGTAGGGCCGCCGCTGTTGCTTTGTGATTTGCCCGCTGGCTGAGCACTTCCTCAAAATCCAATCTCAGAGCGATCGCGCTACGGAAACACGAGAGGGACATACATCTCTTATCCTGCGAGTCCTACGAGGATAATAAATCATTGCTCCTTCAATTCCTCGTCGACTTGGAAAATAAAAACACATTTATTTTATTACTTTATAGATTGTTTTAAAACTGATTTCCTTTTAAACAAAAGTTTTAGTGTGATTGGCATTATAATATAACTTTAGACAGCCCTCATTTTAAAATAAAAGAAAGAGAGATATGTAATATAGTTGCAAAGATGATATCCTCATTATTGCTTATCATTATTTGTTTTACCTTCGTGTTATATAAAGAAAGTAAAGTCATAATTTGGCATGGAATAAGCCTAAAGAGATTCAAAGACTTAATGATTTTGTGTCAGTGTGGCGCCAGCAGATGGCAGCAGAAGAGCCCAGACATTATTGTTTCTGCAGACGGAGAATTTGTTACATTGTGACAAGGTTACATCCTGGTTACAACGCGTGAAACAAAGTAAACTCCGTATAATGTGTTGATGACTGACTACAACAGGTATTACACAGACATATGTTTGAACATTACTTTATATTTTTATGTATGAATAAATAAATGGTTAGTATGCTCACTTTGCTTAAGCTAAACACCAGACAATTGCATCTATTGTGTGGCCAACTTGTTAACTGACCTTTGTGTTAAACATTTTCAACTAAAAACGTGAGACTATTACAAATGTTTTATTTTATGTGAGACTTCACGGCTCTATCACATACAAGAATACTCAAGCTCACCATTTTCCTGTGTTGTCTGAAGGAAATAAAATCAGTATCTTGGCTTGAAAGATTGTCACTATGTTTCTGTTAGAAGGGCTCATCCATATGGCTTAATCAGCTGATTCTCAACCACATTCCTTTCTATTTTTAAATTATTTGTATTATTTATATTTTATTATTTCAAAAGAATTTTCATTATCCCTTCAATAAAGCACAACACCCTTACCTGACACTGTACATCTGACTGACCCTGCTCTGCCTGTTCCTCAATCAGTTCTTTCTCCTTTGCCTGTGATTGATAATGTGATATTAGTATTTTCATAAGCACTCATTCTGAAAGCCAAATTGCTTAATATGTGAAGTTTTTGTACTTGGCGTTTAGCTGCACTGAAAAATCATTATGTCCATTTTCTCTGTCATTTTATCCAATACATGACACTGCCAGGCGTTTATTTATACTGTAGCACATTTTATACACAATGGTAATTCAAAGTGCTTTACATAAAGAATGCAAAACTATCATAAAAATAACCACAATAATAAAAACAGAATTAAAAAAGGTTATCATTTTAATTTCAAATTAATTGTGTAGAAAAGAATAGAAACTGATTAACTTATACAAAAAATACAGTGGGGTTAGTGTGCACAGTGTAGCAGTGCTCATTTGGCAAATACACAACTAATAATATGCAAATTGTGGTTGTTAATGTTAAGTTAACATTATGCCAAATCGTCACAAATGAAACAATGCATGGGAAACGGCTTTAGCGTTAGCAACAAGCTAACGCTAACTAGGTAAGTAATTTTAATCGCTAATACAGCAGATTCATGGACAATTACATCCTTAATCAGCATTTTTTGCCGCAACTAATATATGAAAGAGTCTGTATTAACTACATTGAGGAAAATCGCTTTAAGGTGGGTCAATTTGTGATCGCTTCCCCGTGTTGTCTCTAACCCTCGGATGGGAGGGGACATGTCCCCCCCATCCCCCCCGGGATTTACGCCCATGACTTCGCTCCGTAGACTACAGCAAATAGTCCGGACTGCTCAATTTATCACTGACACTACCCTTCCTACTCTTCCAGAGTGAGTAAAAGGGCTCACAAAATCACTCTGGATGCCTCACACCCAGCACACTACCTGTTTGAACTGTTGCCGTCTGGTCGGCTCTTCATAGCACCAAGCACAAAAATCGCCAGACACAGGAAAAGTTTATTTCCTCAGGCTATCTACCTCATGAACAGTTAAATATCCCCCAACTGTGCAATAAATGTGCAATATACGCACTTGTACACAGAACCTTATATCAATATACAATGCAATACTTTCTCCATTTGCATTTGTACACATCACCATATAACCTGTGTATTTATAACAAACCTGTACATACAATTCAACATCCAGATTTCTTGACTAACTGCATCTCTGTTTGATGTTTATTGTCTTTCTTTTTTCCATATTTATTTTGTGTTGTCACTTGTTACTTTATGTTCACTGGAAGCTTCTGTAGCCAAAACAAATCCCTAGAATGTGTGACGCACACTCGGCAATAAAACTGATTCTCTAAACATCAGTAGGCCATTTGTATTGGGTACACTTGAGGTATTGGGGAGTCATATGCAAATGTCTTATTAATTTGGACAGCCTCATGCATTTGTTAACAAGAACTTTGTCACAGATGATGCACTGTGGCTGGGTCAGGGACATTTTGTTTCAAGAAAAGATAAAAAAACCATAGTTCAGGTAAATATCTTGGTATTTCCTGCATTTCGTGTTTCCAGTATTGCTAGTGCTGTGACCTAAAATATTTGGCGCTTCCTCACCTGGGCCCAGGATTCTTGCGTCATTACTATTAGCTGCTAAAGTTGAATCAGAGTATTTTTTTTTTTTTTTGTGGAAGACGAATTACAAATTTGTCAATTTTTGGTCAGCCAGGAAATAAAATCAACTGAGGCAAAATAATCGTTCTCTTAATTGTCCACTGCTAATTTATTTATTTTTTTTTAAATATGACGCAACTCTCTACAGAGCTCGCTGAGACCCCCTTGTGGACTGGGACTCCTTTGTTGGGAACTGCTGGTGTAGAATGAAGAAGAACAGAGTTTCTCACTTGTAAATATTCATAGTTGAGAAAATTCACAGCCATATCACCCTGCAGCCCAAGAGCAGTTACTTACTGAAGCTAAGCAGGGCTGAGCCTGGTCAGAACCTGGATGGGAGATCACATGGGAAAACTAGGTTGCTGTTGGAAATGGTGTTAGTGAGGCCAGCAGTGTGTGAGTCCTAATGCCCCAGTATAGAGAAAGGGACACTATACTGTTAGTAAGTGCTGTCTTTTGGATGAAATGTTAAACTGAGGTCCTGACTCTCAGAGGTTATTTAAAATCCCATGACACTTCTTGTAAAGAGTAGGGGTGTAACCCCTGTGTCCTGGCCAAATTCCCTGCATCGGCCCTTACCTATAGTTGCCTCCCAATCAACCGCATCTACTGAATTGGCTCTATCACTGTCTCTCCACTCCACTAAAAGCTGGTGTGCAGTGAGCGCACTAGCAGCGTTGTCCTGTGGCTGCCATCGCATCATCCAAGTGTATGCTGCACACTGGTGGAGGTGAGGAGAGACCCCCCTCATGATTGTGAAGCTCTTTGGGTGTATGGTCATACACAATAAATGTGCAATATAAATACACATTCCTTACTACTTACTATGTCCAATCCAGCTCCTGGAGGACCACAATATTCTTTTTTTAGCTTCTTTCATAATAAAATACACCTGTACTAGTTAATCATGGTCTTACTAGGCTTAATGCAAACTTCAATTCTAATTCAGCAAATAAATGGACAAAAACATGACAAACACAACAGTTCAATTGACACAATTTTATTTCAATTCAACAATACATTTTTGGCAGCAACCAAACAGATGCAAGTATTGCTGCCTCAAGCTCTGACACCAGACATTAGCAATAAGCAAAGGACTGGAGAAGTGGTGAGGCCACTGGTGTTAGCATGCCTGGCTAATCAGTTCTTCCTGCATGACCAGGACCGGGCGCTCATCCTCCATGTCTGATGGTGTGATCTAAAGCAAAAACAAAAACAAAATCAGGTTTATTGTCCCCCAAAATAACTGACATTTTGAAAAGTTTTATAGATCATAGGTACCGTAAACCAGTCGTGGAGGAGGATCTGCTCCAGTAGTATCCTCTCGCTGGGATCGGGATGCAGACAGGCATTTATGAGATGACTGCATTCTGAAAGACAGGATTAATGTTTGACTATGACTTTAAACATCCTTTACATCTCCTGATGGCATTTTGGACAGCTGAGCCAAGTGGCTTTGTCAGACACTTTTTTGTATGATTGTTACAAATTTTCAAGTTCTTACCACAGGACAAAGACGGCAGATACCACAGCCAGTGCTGCATCTTTTCCCGATCCGTGTAGTCTGGCATATATCCGCACACCATAGTGTATAGCAGCACTCCAAGCGAATACACGGTTGCTGGCCGTGCTAAGTATTTGCCCGTTTCGAAAAACTCTGGAGGGCAGTACATCTCTGTGCCTGGAGGAAAGAGATTTGCATGTCTGAGTTACAACAGTTTGTTTTTACTGTATTCAGCAGCTTGTGTGTCATGACACTAAAGTTTTAATACTGTACATACCACTAAAAGTGTGGTACTCTGTTTCGTGGAACAGGTTCCCACAGCCGAAGTCAATCAGTGTGACATCCATGGTGTGTGTGTTGATGATCAAGTTCTCCAATTTTATATCTCTGTGGAATACTCCGCGCCGGCAGCAGGTCTCAGCTGCCTCGATAACCTGGCGCATCACATACCGAGCAAACCTTTCTTCAAAGATGTTGCCACAGCTCTCCAAAAGCTTGAACACACTCAGGCATGGTGAAGGGCGCTGCAGGACCATTATATAATGGTCTGGAAAGTCCTGCCAATCCAGCAGATCGATTATGTTGGGTGAGCTGGGACCCTTGTTTGCCATAAGTGTGAGGCCGATTTCCAGTGGTACAAGTTCTGGAAGGCCAGGCTAGTGGAAAGAGTTTTTAGGATGGTTAAATTAAGGTGGTTTGCACAACATGTTAATAATTTGTTTATTGAGAGATAGTTTGCTGTCTATGATTAACATTGGCAGTAAAAGCAAAAACAGAGAGTTAAAGAGTTAATGAAGATCACATAGAGACGACAGTCTACTTACAACGTAGAGATATTCCATGCCCTCCATTTTTCTGGCAAACTTGATTGCCACCTGATCAACAAAACAGAATATAACAGTTAGCACTGGATTACATCAGGCCATTCAATAATCCTTGTTGAAATTCTAGTCATGAATTTGTAGCATGTTTGGTCAGGTTGACCATTTATCAAGGGCTCTAGTTGTGTAACAAAAGACAAAGCATAACACATAAATATAGTTTGTTAGGTTGATTATGCAAAAATATATGTAAATTTACCGGAAGACCATCATGGGCACGGACACCAGCATATACGGCACCAAATCCTCCTTCTCCCAGTAGCTCACCCATGTTGTAGGTCCAGCACATGCCTGTTCAAATATAATTAGTTTTAGAGACAGATTCATATTCTACAATGCAAAAGTAAAACTTTATTACCACTTTATACACCATTACGTCACTAATACATAATGCAGAAACATCTAATCCTTTCAAAAAGTGAAAGCATCAAGCAGCCATAATTAATATGAACTTACTCCCAATAATCAAGACCATGTCTTGGCTTGGGTTTTCTGCCAGAGGACACACAGTTTCTTCCTCTGACAGATCATCTGGAAACTCCTGGATTTGCTCGTCAACAGTGAAGAAAGGAATCTCAAAACTACTGTTGGGAGTGTTCTGAGGACCATAACTCTCTACAGAAGATATGGTCTCCACTGAAGTTGGATCTAAAGAGGAAAATATAACAATTATATATAAACACACAAACATTTCAATACTGCTACAAATAATACATTTATAGTATTTACAAAGACAAAACTGAAGAGTTCAGATACACAAACAACTGCACATCTGAAAATTTGAACTCTGCAAATGTTTAAAGCTATGATGATCTTCTTTAATGATTAAGTTCAGTAAACACAAAAGATGAAGAGATTTACCATCAGTAGACATTTCTTCCTCCAGCTCCACATTCTCACACTGTTCCTGTATTTGCAGGTCAATGATGGAGGGAGGAACCTCAAGGCTGTTAGGAGCTTGCTGGTAGTCATGATGCTCAACAGGGCTTGAGATGTTTCCTACTGAGGTTTGATGTAAAGAGGGGAACATACATTCAACATTTACTTTAATTAAAACACACAGAAACGTTTCAATCCTTTTACAAATACATATATTTGCAGACACAATATTTTAAAGCTATGGTGATCATTTTTATTAATTTTTTCCAGTCACAGAAAAAATAAAGGGATTTACCATCAGTAGAAGGTTCTGCTTCGGTAACTGGCTTCACCTTCTCACTGTCCACCTGCTTCACCTTTTCACCCCTTCCAGCTCTTGGGCGTGAAAAGCGGAACAGCTTTCTCCAAAAACTCGATTTTTTCTTCCATTTCTTTTTCTCCTTTACCAAACTCCCTCCATCTTCCTCACAAGGAACAACACGGCTCTCATCAAGCTGATGGTTTTCTTGACGAGGCGTGTCATTATTTAACTGAAGTGGTGTACTAGGATGTAAACTGTACACACACTCTGACTCTGTCGCTATATTCAGACAAGAAATTCGCTGACCCATGATAAAACAAACGCACTGTCTCACTCCAAACTACCCACTAAAACTAAATTACACCGTCAAGCCTTAACATTCCACTTTGACGTTCTAATTATGACATCAAATAAAATGTCCTTGAGATCAATTTGTTTTGTTTTAAAATTTGCTGGACTACATATTGCATACATAATACCTGACAATTCTTATAGTAATGCCTAAAATAAAGCTAAAATAAATATTAAATCATATTATAAATGTAAATCTACTTGTTTTAATACTTGTTCAAACACTTATATAAATGTTTAATTCCGTACTTCTGCAGTATAATGCTGCGTCGCTAATACTTTCTTATTGGTTGTATTCTCTTTCTCAACCACTTGAGGGAGGCAAATATCATGGTATCTGAACAGAACTGATAGTCCACATTACTTCATGATCTCAGTGGGAGTAGTCTACTTGAAGAGTTTTATTTCTTTTTGTATGTATATTTAAATGTAAGGAATTGAAGTCAGAAATGAATTAGAGTAAAGATGTGTGGATGGGATTTAAAAACATAATAATTAGACTGAATCTACTAAATCTAGTAGAGGAAACATGCTATTTTCTGTTTTTCCTTTTAGCTTAGAGAACTTGTGTTTTCCAGAAGACAAGTTTAATTAAATACAGTAGATTTCCAAATGTTTGTTTAAAATATGAAGGTCAGCCTGGTTTTGATTCAACTTGTGATGGGTGACAACAAGCTCCAGCCACTCTTTCTGACATACTTTCTGGCTTTTTTCAGCACTAAGCATTTTTTGGGCATCAATTTTTAAATCAATTTCTAAATGTTTTCTTTTAGATATCAAACCACGCACCCTAGTAGCATTATTTAGACGTAACCCTACAAATGTTTTCTTTTTTTTTTCTTCCCCAACTTTATTTATAGAAATTTTCAAAAATTTACAAATATCACACATTTTAGAATATTATTGTACATTTTGACATAGAGAGAGAGAAGTAAACAAGGATCTAAATGATTATGACAATTATTAACCCCAGATATATTTAAATAAAAAATAAAAAATAAATAAAAATTAAACAACAACAACAGAAGAAATAAAATAAAAGAAAATAAAATGCCAACCAACCATAACAATTGTTTATACACCAAACTAAAAGCCTGGTCTTGATGTCACATGAGATGTCACACAGCAGAGAAAAATGTCAAAATTAACTATCATCTAGTATGCAGGGAGTATACATTTCCATATATTCAAGGAGAGAGCCCCACATTTTATGAAAGTTTTTAGAACAACCCTTCAAACAGTGTCTGATTTGTTCCAGTTTTATGAAGAGAAAAATGTCATTAATCCACATGGAGTGAGTAGGTGAAGCAGCTGACTTCCAATGTAGTAAAATACGGCCTCTGGCCAGGAGGGACACAAAAGCCACAAAATCTGCTTTGTATCGTGAACAGTGAACTGACAAAGGAAGTGTACCAAACAGTGCTGTTGTAGATACAGGTTTAATTGCTTGTCCAACTACTTGAAACATTGTCTCAAATATTTCTGACCAATATCCACATAGAGTTGGGCAAAACCAAAACATATGTGCCAGTGTTGCAGGAGCCTGGCGACAACGGTCACAGAGAGGATCAACATCAGGGTACATTTTTGAAAGCTTGACCTTAGTCCAATGAGAATGATGGAGTATTTTGCATTGGATCCAACCATGTTTAGCACACACAGATGAAGAATGTACCCTGTATAAAATGTTTTCCCACAGTTCATCTGAAATGTCCTCTGTTAGGTCTTCTTCCCATTGGGTTTTTATGGATGTCAGTGAGCTTCTATGCAGAGAACATATATTGTCATAAAAAACTGAAATCATACCTTTCCCAATAGATACTGGTTCAAGAATTAAATCTAGAGGAGTAGGGGAGGGGAGGCTAGGAAACTGAGGATACCTATTACGGATAAAGCTAAGAACCTGTAAATATCGGAAAAAATTGTTTCTGGGCAAGGAAAACTTATCTAAAAGCTGTTGAAAGGATGCAAAAACATCATCTATATATAAATCTTTAAACATTGATAAACCATAATTTGTCTACAAATGTTTTCTTGTCATCTTCACAGTCAAATGCACTTGCTATCTGTTTAATAATTGCTAAAAGGCATTTAACACTGAAGTGGAAAAATCCTTCTCCGCCCAGTTATGTGCATTGGATGCATGATCTGATGCAGTCTATTCAAATAGAAAAGATTAGGTATACAGATTGCAGTATTAGAAAAAAATTTACTATATTTGACAACCCTTCCTCTCTCATTTTCCTGTTAAAAATGGAGAGCACAGACAAAATATACATGTTTATATATTTATGTTTATTTTCTTTCTTCCTTCTTTTAAAAATTATTTTTAAATTAATTATTTTTTTTTTTTACTGCTGTACCGTTAGCATATTTGTATATTTTGCTATATGGCCTAACATGTGTTACTTTTATCCATAATGTTATTTAATTTATCTTCATTTTATCAGTTGATGTCTTGTGATTCTTTGTATTTAATATTGTAACTCTCTGACTAATAAGCATCAATAAAACAAAGTTAGGCTAAAATAATATAATAATATAACAAATGTTTTATTTTATAAGAGACTTCACTGCTCTATCACATACAAGAATACTCAAGCTCACCATTTTCCTGTGTTGTCTGAAGGAAATAAAATCAGTATCTTGGCTTGAAAGATTGTCACTATGTTTCTTTTAGAAGGGCTCATCCCTATGGCTTAATCAGCTGATTCTCAACCACATTCCTTTCTATTTTTAAATTATTATTCTACTAATACTTCCAAACATGTTTTTTTGTTGTTGATGTGTTGATGCAGATATTGAATTATCTATAGATCAATGCTTCCATCATTTTAAAGACTGACATGTCTCTTTCAGTGACACAAGTCAGCAACCAGGGCATCATAAAACAGTAGTTCCCAACCTTTTTTAGCTTGAGACCCCCTTTTTCCCTGGACAATATTGTAACCCCCCTCCACATTTATTGATATTATCGCTCATATATGTTTGCAGTAGGTATGACAAAAATTTTTTTCAAACAAACAATTTGTTTATTAGTTTATCCAGATTTGTAAAAGATAAATGCAAAATTCAGGTTCCTGGGCACCACCACCTCTTAGGATCTAAAGTGGGACAATTACATAGACTCTATTGTGAAGAAAGCCCAGCAGAGACTATACTTCCTTTTTCAGCTGAGGAAGTTCAACCTTCCACAGGACCCAGGAGCTGCACGTACAGTTCTACTCAGCTGTCATTCAATCCATCCTCTGCACTTCAATCACTGCCTGGTTCGGCTCAGCTGCCAAAACCGACCTCTGTAGACTACAGCAAATAGTCCGGACTGCTGAATGTATCACCGACACTACCCTTCCTACTCTTCCAGAGTGAGTAAAAGGGCTCACAAAATCACTCTGGATGCCTCACACCCAGCACACTACCTGTTTGAACTTTTACCGTCTGGTCGGCGCTTCATAGCACCAAGCACAAAAATTGCCAGACGCAGGAAAAGTTTAATTCCTCAGGCCATCTACCCAACTGTGCAATAAACATGCAATACTTTCTCATACGCACTTGTACACAGAACCTTATATCAATATACAATGCAATACTTTCTCCATTTGCATTTGTACACATCACCATATAACCTGTGTATTTATAACAAACCTGTACATACAATTCAACATCCAGATTTCTTGACTAACTGCATCTCTGTTTGATGTTTATCGTCTTTCTTTTTTTCATATTTATTTTGTGTTGTCACTTTATGTACACTGGAAGCTTCTGTAGCCAAAACAAATTCCTAGTGTGTGTGAAGCACACTCGGCAATAAAACTGATTCTGAAAACATCAGTAGGCCATTTGTATTGGGTACACTTGATGTATTGGGGAGTCATATGCAAATGTCTTATTAATTTGGACAGCCTCATGCATTTGTTAACAAGAACTTTGTCACAGATATTGCACTGTGGCTGGGTCAGGGACATTTTGTTTCAAGAAAAAATAATAAATCAGGTAAATATCTTGGTATTTCCTGCATTTCGTGTTTCCAGTATTGCTAGTGCTGTGACCTAAAATATTTGGCGCTTCCTCACCTGGGCCCAGGATTCTTGCGTCATTACTATTAGCTGCTAAAGTTGAATCAGAGTATTTTTTTTTTTTTTTGTGGAAGACGAATTACAAATTTGTCAATTTTTGGTCAGCCAGGAAATAAAATCAACTGAGGCAAAATAATCGTTCTCTTAATTGTCCACTGCTAATTTTTATTTTTTTTAAAAAATATGACGCAACTCTCTACAGAGCTCGCTGAGACCCCCTTGTGGGCTGGGACTCCTTTGTTGGGAACCGCTGGTGTAGAATGAAGAAGAACAGAGTTTCTCACTTGTAAATATTTATAGTTCAGAAAATTCACAGCCATATCACCCTGCAGCCCAAGAGCAGTTACTTACTGAAGCTAAGCAGGGCTGAGCCTGGTCAGAACCTGGATGGGAGATCACATGGGAAAACTAGGTTGCTGTTGGAAGTGGTGTTAGTGAGGCCAGCAGTGTGTGAGTCCTAATGCCCCAGTATAGAGAAAGGGACACTATACTGTTAGTAAGTGCTGTCTTTTGGATGAAATGTTAAACTGAGGTCCTGACTCTCAGAGGTTATTTAAAATCCCATGACACTTCTTGTAAAGAGTAGGGGTGTAACCCCTGTGTCCTGGCCAAATTCCCTGCATCGGCCCTTACCTATAGTTGCCTCCCAATCAACCGCATCTACTGAATTGGCTCTATCACTGTCTCTCCACTCCACTAAAAGCTGGTGTGCAGTGAGCGAACTAGCACCGTTGTCCTGTGGCTGCCATCGCATCATCCAAGTGTATGCTGCACACTGGTGGAGGTGAGGAGAGACCCCCCTCATGATTGTGAAGCTCTTTGGGTGTATGGTCATACACAATAAATGTGCAATATAAATACACATTCCTTACTACTTACTATGTCCAATCCAGCTCCTGGAGGACCACAATATTCTTTTTTTAGCTTCTTTCATAATAAAATACACCTGTACTAGTTAATCATGGTCTTACTAGGCTTAATGCAAACTCCAATTCTAATTCAGCAAATAAATGGACAAAAACATGACAAACACAACAGTTCAATTGACACAATTTTATTTCAATTCAACAATACATTTTTGGCAGCAACCAAACAGATGCAAGTATTGCTGCCTCAAGCTCTGACACCAGACATTAGCAATAAGCAAAGGACTGGAGAAGTGGTGAGGCCACTGGTGTTAGCATGCCTGGCTAATCAGCTCTTCCTGCATGACCAGGACCGGGCGCTCATCCTCCATGTCTGATGGTGTGATCTAAAGCAAAAACAAAAACAATATTAGGTTTATTGTCCCCCAAAATAACTGACATTTTGAAAAGTTTTTGTAGATCATAGGTACCGTAAACCAGTCATGGAGGAGGATCTGCTCCAGTAGTATCCTCTCGCTGGGATCGGGATGCAGACAGGCATTTATGAGATGACTGCATTCTGAAAGACAGGATTAATGTTTGACTATGACTTTAAACATCCTTTACATCTCCTGATGGCATTTTGGACAGCTGAGCCAAGTGGCTTTGTCAGACACTTTTTTGTATGATTGTTACAAATTTTCAAGTTCTTACCACAAGACAAGGACGGCAGATACCAGAGCCAGTGCTGCATCTTTTCCCGATCCGTGTAGTCTGGCATACAACCGCACACCATAGTGTATAGCAGCACTCCAAGCGAATACACAGTTGCTGGCCGTGCTAAGTATTTGCCCGTTTCGAAAAACTCTGGAGGGCAGTACATCTCTGTGCCTGGAGGAAAGAGATTTGCATGTCTGAGTTACAACAGTTTGTTTTTACTGTATTCAGCAGCTTGTGTGTCATGACACTAAAGTTTTAATACTGTACATACCACTAAAAGTGTGGTACTCTGTTTCGTGGAACAGGTTCCCACAGCCGAAGTCAATCAGTGTGACATCCATGGTGTGTGTGTTGATGATCAAGTTCTCCAACTTTATATCTCTGTGGAATACTCCGCGCCGGCAGCAGGTCTCAGCTGCCTCGATAACCTGGCGCATCACATACCGAGCAAACCTTTCTTCAAAGATGTTGCCACAGCTCTCCAAAAGCTTGAACACACTCAGGCATGGTAAAGGGCGCTGCAGGACCATTATATAATGGTCTGGAAAGTCCTGCCAATCCAGCAGATCGATTATGTTGGGTGAGCTGGGACCCTTGTTTGCCATAAGTGTGAGGCCGATTTCCAGTGGTACAAGTTCTGGAAGGCCAGGCTAGTGGAAAGAGTTTTTAGGATGGTTAAATTAAGGTGGTGTGCACAACATGTTTATAATTTGTTTATTGAGAGATAGTTTGCTGTCTATGATTAACATTGGCAGTAAAAGCAAAAACAGAGAGTTAAAGAGTTAATGAAGATCACATAGAGACGACAGTCTACTTACAACGTAGAGATATTCCATGCCCTCCATTTTTCTGGCAAACTTGATTGCCACCTGATCAACAAAACAGAATATAACAGTTAGCACTGGATTACTTCAGGCCATTCTTTAATCCTTGTTGAAATTCTAGTCATGAATTTGTAGCATGTTTGGTCAGGTTGACCATTTATCAAGGGCTCTAGTTGTGTAACAAAAGACAAAGCATAACACATAAATATAGTTTGTTAGGTTGATTATGCAAAAATATATGTAAATTTACCGGAAGACCATCATGGGCACGGACACCAGCATATACGGCACCAAATCCTCCTTCTCCCAGTAGCTCACCCATGTTGTAGGTCCAGCACATGCCTGTTCAAATATAATTAGTTTTAGAGACAGATTCATATTCTACAATGCAAAAGTAAAACTTTATTACCACTTTATACACCATTACGTCACTAATACATAATGCAGAAACATCTAATCCTTTCAAAAAGTGAAAGCATCAAGCAGCCATAATTAATATGAACTTACTCCCAATAATCAAGACCATGTCTTGGCTTGGGTTTTCTGCCAGAGGACACACAGTTTCTTCCTCTGACAGATCATCTGGAAACTCCTGGATTTGCTCGTCAACAGTGAAGAAAGGAATCTCAAAACTACTGTTGGGAGTGTTCTGAGGACCATAACTCTCTACAGAAGATATGGTCTCCACTGAAGTTTGATCTAAAGAGGAAAATATAACAATTATATATAAACACACAAACATTTCAATACTGCTACAAATAATACATTTATAGTATTTACAAAGACAAAACTGAAGAGTTCAGATACACAAACATCTGCACATCTGAAAATTTGAACTCTGCAAATGTTTAAAGCTATGATGATCTTCTTTAATGATTAAGTTCAGTAAACACAAAAGATGAAGAGATTTACCATCAGTAGAAGTTTCTTCCTCCAGCTCCACATTCTCACACTGTTCCTGTATTTGCAGGTCAATGATGGAGGAAGGAACCTCAAGGCTGTTAGGAGCTTGCTGGTAGTCATGATGCTCAACAGGGCTTGAGATGTTTCCTACTGAGGTTTGATGTAAAGAGGGGAACATACATTCAACATTTACTTTAATTAAAACACACAGAAACGTTTCAATCCTTTTACAAATACATATATTTGCAGACACAATATTTTAAAGCTATGGTGATCATTTTTATTAATTTTTTCCAGTCACAGAAAAAATAAAGGGATTTACCATCAGTAGAAGGTTCTGCTTCGGTAACTGGCTTCACCTTCTCACTGTCCACCTGCTTCACCTTTTCACCCCTTCCAGCTCTTGGGCGTGAAAAGCGGAACAGCTTTCTCCAAAAACTCGATTTTTTCTTCCATTTCTTTTTCTCCTTTACCAAACTCCCTCCATCTTCCTCACAAGCAACAACACGGCTCTCATCAAGCTGATGGTTTTCTTGACGAGGCGTGTCATTATTTAGCTGAAGTGGTGTACTAGGATGTAAACTGTACACACACTCTGACTCTGTCGCTATATTCAGACAAGAAATTCGCTGACCCATGATAAAACAAACGCACTGTCTCACTCCAAACTACCCACTAAAACTAAATTACACCGTCAAGCCTTAACATTCCACTTTGACGTTCTAATTATGACATCAAATAAAATGTCCTTGAGATCGATTTGTTTTGTTTTAAAATTTGCTGGACTACATATTGCATACATAATACCTGACAATTCTTATAGTAATGCCTAAAATAAAGCTAAAATAAATATTAAATCATATTATAAATGTAAATCTACTTGTTTTAATACTTGTTCAAACACTTATATAAATATTTAATTCCGTACTTCTGCAGTATAATGCTGCGTCGCTAATACTTTCTTATTGGTTGTATTCTCTTTCTCAACCACTTGAGGGAGGCAAATATCATGGTATCTGAACAGAACTGATAGTCCACATTACTTCATGATCTCAGTGGGAGTAGTCTACTTGAAGAGTTTTATTTCTTTTTGTATGTATATTTAAATGTAAGGAATTGAAGTCAGAAATGAATTAGAGTAAAGATGTGTGGATGGGATTTAAAAACATAATAATTAGACTGAATCTACTAAATCTAGTAGAGGAAACATGCTATTTTCTGTTTTTCCTTTTAGCTTAGAGAACCTGTGTTTTCCAGAAGACAAGTTTAATTAAATGCAATAGATTTCCAAATGTTTGTTTAAAATATGAAGGTCAGCCTGGTTTTGATTCAACTTGTGATGGGTGACAACAAGCTCCAGCCACTCTTTCTGACATACTTTCTGGCTTTTTTCAGCACTAAGCATTTTTTGGGCATCAATTTTTAAATCAATTTCTAAATGTTTTCTTTTAGATATCAAACGACGCACCCTAGTAGCATTATTTAGACGTAACCCTACAAATGTTTTCTTTTTTTTTTCTTCCCCAACTTTATTTATAGAAATTTTCAAAAATTTACAAATATCACACATTTTAGAATATTATTGTACATTTTGACATAGAGAGAGAGAGAAGTAAACAAGGATCTAAATGATTATGACAATTATTAACCCCAGATATATTTAAATAAAAAATAAAAAATAAATAAAAATTAAACAACAACAACAGAAGAAATAAAATAAAAGAAAATAAAATGCCAACCAACCATAACAATTGTTTATACACCAAACTAAAAGCCTGGTCTTGATGTCACATGAGATGTCACACAGCAGAGAAAAATGTCAAAATTAACTATCATCTAGTATGCAGGGAGTATACATTTCCATATATTCAAGGAGAGAGCCCCACATTTTATGAAAGTTTTTAGAACAACCCTTCAAACAGTGTCTGATTTGTTCCAGTTTTATGAAGAGAAAAATGTCATTAATCCACATGGAGTGAGTAGGTGAAGCAGCTGACTTCCAATGTAGTAAAATACGGCCTCTGGCCAGGAGGGACACAAAAGCCACAAAATCTGCTTTGTATCGTGAACAGTGAACTGACAAAGGAAGTGTACCAAACAGTGCTGTTGTAGATACAGGTTTAATTGCTTGTCCAACTACTTGAAACATTGTCTCAAATATTTCTGACCAATATCCACATAGAGTTGGGCAAAACCAAAACATATGTGCCAGTGTTGCAGGAGCCTGGCGACAACGGTCACAGAGAGGATCAACATCAGGGTACATTTTTGAAAGCTTGACCTTAGTCCAATGAGAATGATGGAGTATTTTGCATTGGATCCAACCATGTTTAGCACACACAGATGAAGAATGTACCCTGTATAAAATGTTTTCCCACAGTTCATCTGAAATGTCCTCTGTTAGGTCTTCTTCCCATTGGGTTTTTATGGATGTCAGTGAGCTTCTATGCAGAGAACATATATTGTCATAAAAAACTGAAATCATACCTTTCCCAATAGATACTGGTTCAAGAATTAAATCTAGAGGAGTAGGGGAGGGGAGGCTAGGAAACTGAGGATACCTATTACGGATAAAGCTACGAACCTGTAAATATCGGAAAAAATTGTTTCTGGGCAAGGAAAACTTATCTAAAAGCTGTTGAAAGGATGTAAAAACATCATCTATATATAAATCTTTAAACATTGATAAACCATAATTTGTCTACAAATGTTTTCTTGTCATCTTCACAGTCAAATGCACTTGCTATCTGTTTAATAATTGTTAAAAGGCATTTAACACTGAAGTGGAAAAATCCTTCTCCGCCCAGTTATGTGCATTGGATGCATGATCTGATGCAGTCTATTCAAATAGAAAAGATTAGGTATACAGATTGCAGTATTAGAAAAAAAATTACTATATTTGACAACCCTTCCTCTCTCATTTTCCTGTTAAAAATGGAGAGCACAGACAAAATATACATGTTTATATATTTATGTTTATTTTCTTTCTTCCTTCTTTTAAAAAATATTTTTAAATTAATTATTTTTTTTTTTTACTGCTGTACCGTTAGCATATTTGTATATTTTGCTATATGGCCTAACATGTGTTACTTTTATCCATAATGTTATTTAATTTATCTTCATTTTATCAGTTGATGTCTTGTGATTCTTTGTATTTAATATTGTAACTCTCTGACTAATAAGCATCAATAAAACAAAGTTAGGCTAAAATAATATAATAATATAACAAATGTTTTATTTTATAAGAGACTTCACTGCTCTATCACATACAAGAATACTCAAGCTCACCATTTTCCTGTGTTGTCTGAAGGAAATAAAATCAGTATCTTGGCTTGAAAGATTGTCACTATGTTTCTTTTAGAAGGGCTCATCCCTATGGCTTAATCAGCTGATTCTCAACCACATTCCTTTCTATTTTTAAATTATTATTCTACTAATACTTCCAAACATGTTTTTTTGTTGTTGATGTGTTGATGCAGATATTGAATTATCTATAGATCAATGCTTCCATCATTTTAAAGACTGACATGTCTCTTTCAGTGACACAAGTCAGCAACCAGGGCATCATAAAACAGTAGTTCCCAACCTTTTTTAGCTTGAGACCCCCTTTTTCCCTGGACAATATTGTAACCCCCCTCCACATTTATTGATATTATCGCTCATATATGTTTGCAGTAGGTATGACAAAAAATTTTTTCAAACAAACAATTTGTTTATTAGTTTATCCAGATTTGTAAAAGATAAATGCAAAATTCAGGTTCCTGGGCACCACCATCTCTCAGGATCTGAAGTGGGACAATTACATAGACTCTATTGTGAAGAAAGCCCAGCAGAGACTATACTTCCTTTTTCAGCTGAGGAAGTTCAACCTTCCACAGGACCCAGGAGCTGCACGTACAGTTCTACTCAGCTGTCATTCAATCCATCCTCTGCACTTCAATCACCGCCTGGTTCGGCTCAGCTGCCAAAACCGACCTCTGTAGACTACAGCAAATAGTCCGGACTGCTGAATGTATCACAGACACTACCCTTCCTACTCTTCCAGAGTGAGTAAAAGGGCTCACAAAATCACTCTGGATGCCTCACACCCAGCACACTACCTGTTTGAACTTTTACCG